AAAATTAAGTTTCTCCAATCTTCTCAAAACTCTGGATTCTGATAGAGGGCCATGAGACTTAGACCTGAGTGCAAAAATGGAGGCTCTAGACCCTTCCAGAGCTGAGATATCGAAACTCAAAAATTCGACCCGAAAAAAAAAAAAACAGTGGTAACCCTTTCGTTTTTTTTTTCGGGCGAAAAATTAAGTTTCTCCAATCTTCTCAAAACTCTGGATTCTGATAGAGGGCCATGAGACTTAACCTGAGTGCAAAAATGGAGGCTCTAGACCCTTCCAGAGCTGAGATATCGAAACTCAAAAATTCGACCCAAAAAAAAAAACACAGTGGTACCCCTTTCGTTTTTTTTTCGGGCGAAAAATTAAGTTTCTCCAATCTTCTCAAAACTCTGAATTCTGATAGAGGGCCATGAGACTTAAGCCTGAGTGCAAAAATGGAGGCTCTAGACCCTTCCAGAGCTGAGATATCGAAACTCAAAAATTCGACTCGAAAAAAAAAAACGACAGTGGTACCCCTTTCGTGTTTTTTTTTTTTCGGTGAGAAATTAAGTTTCTCCAATCTTCTCAAAACTCTGGAATCTGATAGGGGCCATGAGACTTAAACCTGAGTGCAAAAATGGAGGCTCTAGACCCTTCCAGAGCTGAGATATTGAAACTCAAAAATTCGACCCCCCAAAAAAAACGACAGTGGTACCCCTTTCGTTTTTTTTTTTCGGGGAAAAATTAAGTTTCTCTCCAATCTTCTCAAAACTCTGGAATCTGATAGAGGGCCATGACACTTAAACCTGAGTGCAAAAATGGAGGCTCTAGACCCTTCCAGAGCTGAGATATCGAAACTCAAAAATTCGACCCGAAAAAAAAACCGACAGTGGTACCCCTTTCGTTTTTTTTTTTTTTGGACGAAAAATTAAGTTTCTCCAATCTTCTCAAAACTCTGGATTCTGATAGAGGGCCATGAGACTTAAACCTGAGTGCAAAAATGGAGGCTCTAGACCCTTCCAGAGCTGAGATATTGAAACTCAAAAATTCGACCCGAAAAAAAAAAACGACAGTGGTACCCTTTCGGTTTTTTTTTTTCGGGCGAAAAATTAAGTTTCTCCAATCTTCTCAAAACTCTGGATTCTGATAGAGGGCAATGAGACTTAAACCTGAGTGCAAAAATTGAGGCTCTAGACCCTTCCAGAGCTGAGATATCGAAACTCAAAAATTCGACCCGAAAAAAAAAAACGACAGTGGTACCCCTTTCGTTTTTTTTTTTTGGGTGAGAAATTAAGTTTCTCCAATCTTCTCAAAACTCTGGATTCTGATAGAGGGCCATGAGACTTAAACCTGAGTGCAAAAATGGAGGCTCTAGACCCTTCCAGAGCTGAGATATCGAAACTCAAAAATTCGACCCGAAAAAAAACAACAACAGTGTTACCCCTTTCGTTTTTTTTTTTTTCGGGTGAAAAATTAAGTTTCTCCAATCTTCTCAAAACTCTGGATTCTGATAGAGGGCCATGAGACTTAAACCTGAGTGCAAAAATGGAGGCTCTAGACCCTTCCAGAGCTGAGATATCGAAACTCAAAAATTGACCCCAAAAAAAAACGACAGTGGTACCCCTTTCGTTTTTTTTTTTTCGGGCGAAAAATTAAGTTTCTCCAATCTTCTCAAAACTCTGAATTCTGATAGAGGGCCATGAGACTTAAGCCTGAGTGCAAAAATGGAGGCTCTAGACCCTTCCAGAGCTGAGATATCGAAACTCAAAAATTCGACCCGAAAAAAAAAAAACGACAGTGGTACCCCTTTCGTTTTTTTTTTTTTTCGGGCGAAAAATTAAGTTTCTCCAATCTTCTCAAAACTCTGAATTTTGATAGAGGGCCATGAGACTTAAGCCTGAGTGCAAAAATTGAGGCTCTAGACCCTTCCAGAGCTGAGATATCGAAACTCAAAAATTCGACCGGAAAAAAA